AATCCGAATTTCTACTTTGAAGGCTTTTGTTCGTGGCCATCTTACCTCAGTTCATTGCCATGCGAGTTTTCAGGCGGTGCTGCGCTTGAAATTGCCTTGCAGCTTTCAGGGAGCACGAGGCATTGCATCTACATAGCCTTTGGGGATGGGCGTGCTTGTCCTTGCCAATGCTTCTGTTGAAGGAGGTTGCCTCAAGTTGACGGGCATTGCCTGAAGGGCGGCTCACAGGAACGTGGCGGTCAGGGAACGCAGAAAACCATGCGGCCCATTTAAGGAATTATGGATGATCATGGCATTGACCCATGGTTTGGAACAAACATGAACATATGATCAGTATTGTCACTAGAGACATCCTCCAAGGAGCCAGCATGCTCCAGTCGCGGAGTTTGTGTTCCGAATCGTTCACCGCCAGGCATCAGGTGGACACCTCGCATCCTGCCTCCCACAAATGGATGCCGGCCACAGATGGCAAGGAGTATGAGCGGCGATGCGCCACGTGCAGCTTGGTAGATATGCTAAATCGAACCTGGTTTCGGGCGAGCGCGTCGTGTTTCTGCCCTTATCCGAGGCAATGTATACTTCTCCGGCGACGGCGGCCTGCTTGACCATGTTTGTTACTGGCCTCAGATTGATAGTGACCCACAATGATTTGTTTCTGCACTAGCTCGGAGTGACGGCAACTGGCTATGACCAGCATAATTGTCTGTCAACATGTGTCGCCTGGAACCTGTGAAGGATCACGATTTACGTCAGCTGTGCAAGGATGCCTTTTCGATGTGAAGGCGTATCAAACGTCGGGTTTGGCCCAGGTGAGAAGCACGAGGTGCGCGTGAAAAGGGCCCAGAAGACCAAAAAATGCTGATGGCTGAGCCCGGCAGCCATGGGCCATGTGTGATTCGGAATGTGGCGGAGGTGGCAATTACTGGCTTCGCCCTGCTAGTTGGAAGCAAGAATCACAGAGGCACATGGCTTAGAAGGATGTTTGCATGAGGCGGTTGCATTGGTCTCAGAATTGCTTCTCAGCCATATTGCAGCGCCGTGGTCCGCCTGTCCATTGGGGAGCTTTCGTGCTCTTTACCATGCGGCTCGGATCTTTGGGTGGGGCCTAGTCAGAGCACCAAGCAGCACTTGATGCTCACATGGAGTCTGACCTGTCAAGTCGATATCGCCCCATCCGAATGTAGCAAGGAAGCCGGCGATGAAGCCTGTTTGGCGATCCACGGATCTACTGCCTGGGACTTGTTGACCAGGCTTGGCTGCAGGACATTTTAAGGCCGACAGAAGGCCGCTCTTATCTTTTTTGTTTTCCAGAGTAGCCTTTAGCACAGTTTGCGACTCTTCGACTTGGCGCGACATGCGCCCAAGTCGCAAGGGTCTCGAAATCTCGAAGCGCGAGGTGTTTAGAGCTACAAAAAGGCGTGGCCGTGGGTGTTTTCGAGCAAGGCCCTGTAGGCAGTTCCGCAGTCGCTGGGGGGAAGGTGTATCATGAGGGTTCCCTAGGGGTGCTGCCATTTCATGAGTAGAAAGTCCCTGGACATGGTTTTGTTTTAGGGGCCTTCCAGCGGGTTCGAACTGGCCGACAAGAAGGGGATCAAAGGATTAGAGTTGTACCAGGTAGCCTGCTTGAAGACTCACTCGGACATCAAATAATTCTGATGCATGGCACATGGCTCAGGCTGCCAATGGTGCAGTTGTTGTTGTGTTTAGGTGGATGGATGTCCCTTTCAAAGTAAACCAAGGAAAGGCCCTTGCAGCAAGGTGACACATGCCCCTAGGCTGCGGTCAACGTGGAGGCGGTGCCTAGGTGCGGAGGGATGTGGGCAATGTTTCTTCTCTTGGAGCTTGCTTGGAGGACCCCCTCGGCCAAAATGGGCTCAAAAAAGAGAAACGGGGTCCAAAAAGGGTGGCCTCAAAGACAACAACCACCCACCCACCCACGCCCGCACACGCACACACGCACACACACATCCACACGCGTGCTTTATGGGTGGGGCTGGGGGGGGGTTGGGATGTCTTGGTAGAGCTGTCGCAGGCAGGCGGCACTCAAGGCGCAGGAGGTGCTGGCGGAGCACCACGCGCGGGAGCTGCTGAAAGAGGAGCTAGCGACCGGCGCCCTAGCCTGCACCCACTAGCGTGTTCTCATGTTCTCGCATCGGTTCGGGTGTTAAAGGAGCTAATGGTGAAGGTCCCTCAGGAGGTTTCCTCGTTTCCGTGGGACGTGGGCGACGACATTCCCGGGGAGTTCGTGCTGGTTTTCTCTGAGATTTTGGGCCAAGAGTGCTTCTATGCTGGGATCTGCGGGGTAGCAGTCGAGAGATGGGAAGTGTGGAGCGAACAGGCAGACGCTGACTGGCTTGTTCAAAGCCAAATCCCCACCGATTAGCGGTTTGAATGGTTGGCGGATTGCGCGGCTTGCCGAGTAGAGTATGCGGTTTGAGGATTACGGATTATGGGTTTCACGGCAGAAGGTCTTGACCCAGAATTTGCGAGATGACCAGCCAGATCAAAATTTTACACGCAGTACGGATGGTGATTGGGGCTCCCGGGATTTCGACCAGGCTGGGGTGCGAGTGCGCCCCGAGGTGTGGCTCAAGTAGTGACGCTGTGTTCCAGCACGACCCCATGCTCAGGTAGGTACTTCACTGGGTCAGTGTGTCACAAGTCCTTCCGCCGCAACTGCCTTCCGCTGATTGCGGAAAGGAGCCCGACCAACCAAAGCCGCGCAAGCTCAAGGAGGTCGTGGGGCGGGTTGCTGGAGGTTTTGGGAGCCCCCTGGCTTTGAGGCGAAGGGATCTTGAGGCTTTGGATTTCCAGTTTTTGTTGGATCTGCGTTGGGTAGGTGCCACCGCGGAACCGCCACTGTGGCATGTTTACGCATCATGGAGCCCTTGTAGGATAGCCAGCCTCGCTGTGGCTTAGTGCCCGAGCTGGCTGACTCCTGTGAGCGACTAGGAGCATGTCATCAGTGTCTTACTTGTGATATTCCATACGGCGCTTTAAGCAAGCCATGCTATGTTTTGGCTTCCCCACTTGTTGTCGGCCGAGCCTGACTTGGATCAGATATTGACTGGCACATCATTTGTGTTTGGTGTGACGCGCCCCGGGGTTTTTTCACACTTGAGCGGCTTGGGGGCATGTGGTTCCATGGGGTGTCCCCTGAAATGCATCGGCTTGGCTCTATGAGTTCAAGGCTCCCATTATCCTACTTACCCTTGGTGAAACTCAATCCTTAGCCCGTGCAGCGGTGTCCCACTACAGGTGGGTTAGATTCGAGTTGGGTTTCCCAGTAAAAAAACAGCCTACCAGAGCTACCACCATGTCCCGTTTCCGAGCTTTGGCTTTCGCTTCAGGAGCGCGCATCGGCCTGTTCCCGGGCGCCTGAGGGCTCGACCGGCGCCACGGGCTCCACCAAGGCCCACTGAGGGCATTCCTGATTCCCTCTAAACTGGAGTTGAAATGGTTGACATTCACCGATTCGCATCAGCCAGGGCTTTAGTTTAGTCTTAGCCACGAGCAACAGAGAAACCAAGTACCGGAAGCATTGGCGCCTGATTGGATGCTTCCTCATGCTTGAGATGCTCATTTGGCTTCTTTGTGGAAGGCCGGCTAGGCAGCTAGGTTTTCCAGGGTAGTACTAGTCAATATCTGACCACCGCTTGCCCCGCCTTACTTTCCAAGTTTCTATCTCTGAAACTGTTGGTCGACAGGAACAAGCATGTTTACTCTTCATCCCTCCCGCCCGATTTGTCTCTTCCGCGCCTTGCACCCTTGCACCCTTGCCGCCCTGGCCTTGCGCAGACGCCCGAGCCAGACGTGCGATCAGAGTGCCGCCCTCCTGGGGAGTGAGCGGGCAAAAGTTTTGGCCCCGAGTGTGACTTGGGTGTTTGCAAAGGGAATTCAGCTCCCTCAGCAAAGCTGCACAGCAACCTAATCTAAAAGGGCTGTGCTTGTGACCTTCTGAAATGCGACTTCAAAAGCCCTGCCTACAAGCATCCATTCCACCCTCAAAGCAGCCCTTGATCAGATCGGCTGGGGTCCTTGCAGCACGAGTCCCCGGCCGTATTCTACCTCCTGCGCTGACTGCGACCCGTGCCCAACTACTAGATGCTTGTTTTCAAGCATGCAGGCGTATGAGCATGTGCAGGCTGTTGTCTTCTGCCCAGCCGTTTAGTTGGCTACAAGGTGCGTGGGCCTGCGATAGGCCGTTGAACCACAACGGCGCAGTCAGGAAATCCGCATATTTTGCATGCGTTTCCCGTGTTTTGTTAATAGACGCGCTTGCATCAGCTGAAGCAGAGATTCTGACATCGTGCTTGAAGCATGTAGGGAGCTCAAGTCAATGAGGTAAACAGACGCCGCCCGGCCGCATTTCACAGTTATGCTGGCAGCTACGACGCAGCAAAAGAGGCTACACGCTTCAACAGTTGAGAAGGAGAGAAAGGGCCTCATTGAACAGAATACTTTTGTTGGGTGATATGACGGGCCTCCAACGTAGAAAGTGGGTTAATTTGTGGACTTGCAGTCGCAAGGCGCCAAACGATAACTCATAATTCCTCGAGGAAACCCATGGAAGTGCTAAACGGGAGGCACACCCGAAGCTCCAAGCCACCGAAAGCTTAGCAGACGAGCGCTGTCCGTCGAATTCGTGGCCTCTTCCGGACCGCCTGAGCCATGGCTTTGGACTTCATTGCTTCGGCGGATCTCCACGAAGTCCCGGAGATTGTGGTGCGGTGCCTCCGGGAGCACGGCTCAGAGCTGGCGGCAAGCGCCTCGTCATGTGGTTGGCGTCGGGAGGCGTTTTCTGTGAGCTTCAGGCTTCTGGGGGCCTGGGGGTGGAGTTGACCTTGTTGGCACTGGCTGTTTGGTTGAAAGAGCAGCTGGTTTTTTGATCGGTTCGCACCCGCCTGGCTCAAATATAGCGTTGAACCGCCCCGAGCGTTGAACCGCAAGCCGCAGGAAGCCACTGACCTGAGTGGCAGTTCCGCCCTGACCAACAACCAATGCTCAAGCACCCAGCGGCACTGAGCGCCACGCCTGTGCGATTGCCCCCAAGACGGGGGCCTGGGCTTGCCATGGTCCCAGAAGCCGACAGCGATGTGCCGGAGAAGGCGCCCTGGGAAGATGCGCGCCTGGAGTCCGAGCCCTCAAAGCCCAAGGCCAAGGCCGGGAATGAGTCGAGAGTCGAGAGCCTCGAGTTGGCTTCTCTGATGGCTGGCAACAGAAGAGAGCGTTGAGCATCCAGCTCCACCGCCACTTTTTTTGGGCGGCACGGCAAGCTCCGGCAATTCCCTCGTTCTCCGGGCAGGCTCCGGGATTCCTTCCTTCTGGGATCATTATCTTGGCTCTTTCTGGGGGCTATCAAACTCAGAAATCTGTGGTTTCCCTTTAACCCACCGAACGGGGGTGACTTTGACGGGGCACCGAAGGCCTCGGAGGCCTTCAGCGCCTTGCTGGAGAAGCTGCTCCAGCAGCACCTCGAGGAGCTGGACGCGCGCGAGAGGCATTTCAAGAGGCGAGGATTTTTTTCACGCGAGAGGTTCGTGTTCTGGGCTCTTCTGGGACTTTATCTGCCCTGGCCTTGAATTGTTTGTTGTTTGGGGGGCTTTCGGAGAGCTTTCTTTACAAGAATCAAGCCAGCACAGGATTCCCAGTTCTAAGGGAGATGCCCACGGTTGCAAGCACAATGGCGAGGCATCAAAAACGAGCAACATGTGCGGGGGTATGCTTCAGTAAGAGGGCCGCCAAACGCCTAGCCGCAGTAAAAAGCTGAGGCCATTCTCCAAAGAGGCTTCCCCCTCAGCGGTCACGCTCAAGGAGGTGCGGGTGCTGCCCAGGACCTGCCAACGGGTTTTTTGGGCTGAAAAAACCTTTGAGCGAGACTTTCTTGAACCCCCAGCAGTTGCGGCCAGGCTGATCAAAACAGCAGGTTTTTTTGTTCCGATGTGAGGGCTCACTTCATTTCGGGGGGGTGCTCAGAGACGCTGGTCAAATGTGACAGGCATCCTCGCCCGGTGTGACCAATCT